CCCGACCTACAAACATATATTCATGAAGATGCTCCCCGACCGTAAGGTCGACTATTTACGTTTATTTATGGACCACAAAGACAATTGATTTTGTTGTGTTATTGTTTAGTAGCTTTGGTTTTTTTTTTTAATTTATTCATGGGATATCTGATTTGGATGTTTTTCTTTCTAGCACGATCAATCTATATGTTGCTCTGTATTTATTTATTCTTATTATTCTCATTATACTTTGGTTTTTGTTTTTTTTATGTGGGTTTGTGAAGTCCATGATGAGACATTCGACATTGTGGGTTCTTCTGGATGACTTGTTAGTCGTTGTTGGTTGGTGTCATGTGTGAAATTATGATAAAGACAACCATGTTTCTCTTCTTTTCGATGCTGCGTTTTTTTAGATACTTCTGGATGACCATTTTTTGGTGATATGCATATGTGACACGTACAAACTTGATGTTAAGTGAGCTAAAGATAACCGATAACTCCTGTTTTATAGGATCTGCTATCTTCTTGTCGTGATAGGTTTGATGAGGTTGGTGTACTGAGTTCTTTAAGACTCCACGCCCGCATAAATCTGTAATTGATTACTATTTTTGTTAATTTGTACTTGTGTTATGACTAATTGATTGTCTTTTGAATCACTCAGGGAAGATAAACTCTAGGATTTCACGGACTTTTCGACGATTGCTCTACTGCTGCGGACTTTAAACTTCCTTACTGGCATCACGCTAGTCACATAACTACGGGACCTAATGATCATTTAATCAGAAACAGTTGCAAAACAATTATTTTTCAACAACACAAGCCAAACAGCCAACCAACTTATTCGGATAAGCTGCTGCGCAGCAGCTTATCTACGCAACTGCTTATCGACAGCTTGTTAATAAATTGCAGCTGCCCTAAACTGACCCTAAGTTTGAGCTGAGCTTTCTCATGTGTTCATTCTTTGTTTGCTTAAATTTTTTAATATTCATACATGATTTATACTGGCTTGTTTATATTAATTGAGCAAGCTTAAAATTCGATGAGTATATGATTTATTTATATAAAATTAAAATTTTGATTTGTACTTAGTTTTTAAATGTAAAGCTAGTAAATAAGTTAAAAATTCAAATGAATATTTGATTTTTTTAATATAAAGTTACTAACAAATGATTTTACAAATTTAAATAAATAAGAAATTGAATAAATTTTAAAATAACATTTAATTAGTTTATACCAAGTAAATAAAATAATATATAAGTTAAGTTTTTTTGCAATTATATTACTTAAATATGTATTAACAAATTAGTTCATTGAAATAAAAAATAAGAAAAAAATGTAGTAAATTTATATGAATATTAATATTAAATTATAATATTTTATTATTAAATATATAATTAAATAAGTTCTAATTAATTAAATTTTATTTAAATATTATATCATATAACTATAGAGCATTTAACAAGTTACTTGTTGAACGACAAACGAGCTTATTCGTGAAGATTAATAAACGAGTTGGACTATGTTCAAATGTAGTTCATTTTTTCTTTGAGTTTTAAAAAAATGTTCTAACTTTTTATTTACCAATTTAAACAAATATCAAGTAGTATTAATCGAGCTGAGTTTGAGTTGTTCATCAAGTGCATTGGTTCATTTAAAGCCATAGGTGAAAGTCTAAAATTATGTTGCTATTACTCAAATTGTCTTGTTAGATTTGACTGTAGTAATGCTTGAATTTGTTGCCTTTATGCTATGATGGTTGAAGTGTGATAAATTTTCTTTAGGAAAGTAAACTTTCAATCTGATGAGGTTTAGTTATTATGGTTAGATTGTAATAACTATAGTAATAGTAATAATAATAATAATAATAATAATAATAATAATAATAGTAACAACAACAATAATAATAGTAGTAATAATAATAAAAATATTATTATTAATTAAATAAAATTAATTGTTATGTCGGTTGACACATTCTAAGTGCGTAATAGAGTTTCGTGTGTCGATCCTGCAGAGAACGAGATGATTCCAAATGCGAAAAAGTTCTAGTTTACTACCAGTGGTCCTAACCTGAATTGTTGAAGTATTCAATGTTTAATAAAAGTTTTTACCCTAATTTTAAAAGTGAACAAAACCCAAGTCTTAAAGTGAATCAGGAAAGAGTTGTTGATTCAAGAATTGTCCTAAAATCTTTTTTGAACTGGTTTTGTAGGGATTCAAGCCTAGCAATTGATTCAAAAGCAGGTGTCAAACAGGAGAAAATTCTTCCTTATCTTCTTTCAGTAGTCTAAGCAAGATTGAAGATCCATTTGTTTAGTTTTCTAAATCAATTGAAAGGTCCAAGACAAACTTGCTGCCCATTCAATTTCCTCGTTTAAAGGAAATATTCTTGTTCCCATGACTTCGTGTGGTTAACTTCATCGTTCCTCTTTAGATTTATTATGAAATTCTAAGATCATGATTAGTGTTAACAAATTAATTGGTCAAGTTAAAAGTCAATTAAGTTCTCAAGTTAAAATAACACTATAGAAAAGTTTACACAAAGGACTACATTAAAGTGCCAAACAATCATCCCTACACCTTCACAACAATGGAGAACGTAAAATCTACTCACTAAGCATGCCAATTTCATCAACACAAACATTGTATTAAAGATAGAAATCATACGCAAGAGTTTCACAAAATATTTCTTAGAGAAAACAAGCAAGAACTCAATATATTTATCTCTTTCAAATCCTGAGTATGCTGATGGAATTACAATCACACTTACACTCTCACAATATCACAATCTCTCTCTAAAACTCGCTCTAAAACACTTAGTTGATCTTCTCCACCTTTCTTCAGATGTTTTTCATGCTCTTCAACGGCAGAAAGACCCCCTCCAATGTAAAAATCATCATTTTTATACTCATCCCAACAAATGTTTGCGTCTGAATTCAGGAACCGTAAATTTTCAAAGACCCGCACCTAGCCACCTAGTTGCCACTGACTTTGGGTTCGGGCTGGTGCTTCTGCACCTAAGCGCCAGTATCGTGGCGCCTAGGCGTTGGTAGTGTGGCGCCTAGGCGCTATCCAATAAGCGCCTACTTTGTAAGAGCTTGGGGAATCTGCTCCTTTTAGGTGCCTAAGCGTTACTGACCCGACACTTGGGTGCTACTGGCCAGAGGTCTATGCACCAGACCTAGACTTTACTCCAATCAATGAGTTTCGAGCTCCGTTCGATACCCTTCTCTACATTCTGTAAAACAACAATAGAAAACTTCCTCCAACCATAATATAAGCATATAAAATGGGAGAATCAAGGTACAAAATATACACTATTTATACACATGTCAAAATCCTCCAAAAATGTTACTTGCTCTCAATTAACTTCAAAATTTAACATTTGATTTAGTAGGAATCACAAAATAATAGGCGCTCATTAGTAACAAGCTTCAATCTGAATTTTAAAGGAATACTTATGCATGCGAACTTATGTTTCTATGGAGTTCCTTTTTCAAAGCTTCCCTTGAAACAATGAATTCTTCAAAAGCTGTCAAAATGTTAATATTCACTTCAAGATATTAAGTTGATGCTTAGCTAATGCAATTGGATATGCCAACTATTAGAAGCTTAGCCATTTATGAATTCAAGTTACTTAATTATTAATCTTTAAACACAAAAATTGAATTATGTTATAAATGTTATTGAATTTTTAATTTCAAAAGAGAAGACATTGAAACTAATTTTTGATAAAGCCACTCCTCAAGCTTCTCCTCCAAAGTTCTTTTATATTTTATTTTTTTCTCCTTTCTTTTAGTGAAACTTCTTTTGGATTTACTATTTTTCAATCAAAGAATTTTTTTATAGATGTTCCCTTTTTAGATTCATTATGTAATAATAATAATAATAATAATATATATATATATATATATGTATATTCCTGTTGAAATTGAATCAAATAAATTTATATATATAAATCAATTGAAAGGTCCAAGGCAAACTCGCTCACCGCATCTTTTAGGATGGTTAATCCTAAAGTGTTCGGGAAATCACGCATTAGGTATGGAGCATAAAAGAGAAAGGGAAGAGGGAGTGAATAGTAAAAGTGAGAGCATTTAGAGCTTTTCTTCATGAAATGATCTCCTATTTATAGGTATAGGAGATACTTAGAGTAAATAATTACATCTTAGACTTCCTTCTATACAAAAAATTTAGGGGTATTAAAGTCATTTGTACAATATAAGTAAATACATTAATAATAAATTAAATGGTCGATCATGATGAGTTTCGTACATCAGTACATGCTCTTTCATTTGGTGATGACAGACTGAATCGCATGTGGATCATTTGAAGACCTCTCAATTGATCTTTTTCGTGTCCTTTCATCAGTTTTTGAGCCATCTCCCTCGTTCGTTTGGTGATGGAGTTGTCTTTTGTTTGGCCTGACGTGGAACTGTCCTTCGTTTGGCTAGGTTTATGGCTATCCTTCATTTGTCAGGTATGCAACTATCTTTCGTTCGGCTCGGTTTACAACTGTCATTCGTTCGGCCTGTTATGTTGGTCGGCTCGCCTATTGAAGGGAGTGACTTATCGGAGCGTTGAGATACTTCTCTCTTGACTTAGCAATATTTTTTACTCCAATAAAGAAAATTAGTGTTTGATTGGGTCTTTGTATACTTTGACTCTAGGTCCCTCCTATTTGTCTTGTATCTCTATTTTTTTTTTGAGATTCGTGCTGTTGCAATCCTGTTGTACATAGAAAAAAAGGAACGTCTAAAGGATACAAGTCCAATGGTATTTTTTGTAATTTTTAATACTTGACAAAACCAGTGTGAAACTTTGGTTATTTTGAATTTTAAACTAGTTATAAAATGATGTCCAGGTGGCTGACACTGAATAATTGTTAAAGAGCTTTGTTGGGGGTTTATATGCTTTGTACAAACTTATAATATCATTCTTTCAGCTTTCACTGATAGAAGCGTTACTGTGAAATTTTGATTGATTGTTCTAGTTTCTGATGATATTATTTGTCTATCCTACAGTTTCCACACTTCATTGCACAATTTTTCTCACGTTTATCTTGGTCGGCTCCCAGAAGTTTGCCTGAAAGGCCGGATAACGTTACAAATACAAATCATCATTCGGAGGTAAGGCTTGAACTTGTTTTGGACAAGTCTAACTTCGTAATTTTTATTTTCTTGCCTCACGTGCCTGCGCGCACACACACGAATCTACCACTCTTGATTTAGCTGCGTGGCTAAAATCAGACCTGTCTAATTTTGTAATTTTTATTTTCTTGCATTCCACACACACACACAAAGCTACCCCTCTCGATTTAGCAGCCTAGCCAAAATGAGACCTGTCAAATTTTGTAATTTTAATTTTCTTGCATCACGCACACGCACGCACGCACGCACACGCACACGCACACACACAAGAAAAAAAAACTATCAGATGATGGACCGTCCACCATTCATTTGTAAGAAAACAATTTAAAAAAAAAATCAAACCTAAAAGACGAGAAAATTTCCGCTCTGGCAAATGGGCATTCTAAGCTTTTCGCATGCCATGTAAGTAATATTCATGGCTTCTATATAATGTGTGTAATAACATGCTCAGGTTGACTTTGTAAATTGCTATCATAACATATTCTGAGAACATTAGCATTCTATCACTCAAAAAAGTCACTCAAATTTTTAAACTGAAAACTTTGTACATTTTTGAATTGCTGGGCATTTCTTCCCCAGAAAGGGCGCAATAGTCATGGATGCTCAGTTGTCGTAAAACCCTGTGGCTTCATGTCTGCTATCTTAATCCTATTTTCCTTCCAGAGAAACTTTGGTTCCTCAGTCTCATCAGTCCCAGAGCCTACAGAGTCTTCTGTTGCTACATTAGTATCAATGGGTTTCGATGGCAATTCTGCGAGGCTTGCACTTTTGCGAGCCAGGAATGACATCAATGTTGCAACGAATATCCTCATTGAAGCTCAATCACACTGACATCATGTGACAAATTCAATCAGGAGCTTAGGAACTGGAAAACCAGTCTTCATCTGAAGATCAATTGGAACTTATCAGATTTTTATTTGGTCTACAAGTAAATGTTTTCACCAATGGATGAATATTTAGCTTTTGCTTGACTAATACTGTTTTTAGTAAATATTAAATATATTTTTTGTATTGAATATCTGGAAAGGCAATATAAAAAATCTATCGAGTTACCTTAGCACGTAGCAGGTAATTAGGGTTGTAAACGAGCCGAGCTTGAGCGAGCTCAGGCTTGGCTCGTGATCGGCTCGTTTAAAATAGCTCATGTTCAAAATCGGCTTGTGTTTGAAATCATCTCGTGAACAGTGTGTTCCTGTTCGACTCGATTTAAATATTCGTATTCGTGTTCGGCTCGAAATTGACTCGTTAAACTAAAATTGAGAAAAATAGATGTAAAGTGTGAGATTAGAACCTGGATCAAATCTATACAAAAAATGACACTAACCACAATAATATATATAGTATATTACTATATAAGTAATACATAATTTCTTTATTTCAAGCTAAAAGGAGACAAATATGATTGAAAAAAAGGTTTGTTTGTGCTCTGCTCATTTATAATTTGAGCTTAAAAATTTGTTCGTGTTCGGCTCGTTAGACTTAACGAACGAGCCAAACACGAGCTGCTTAACGAGCCGAACACGAGCTGTTCACGAACAACGAGCCAAATTGACAGCCCTACACGTAATCATAAGCTTAATTTGTAAAATTAGGGCTAGAAAATATTTTATGACAGTGTCTATGTCCTAACCTCTTAGGATAGTTTAGAAAATATATTTAGTAAAATTTAGTCTAATAATATTTTATAAAGTATTGCCATTAGAGGAATTCATAGATGAAACTATTACATACCTATGATGTAATCTTAAGAAATACATATCTATAGGATAATAATTCTAAGTATTTTAGAAAGGGATTATAGGAAGCTAGAAAGATGTCGTAGATTGGTGGTGGGGGTTTTATTTATTCATTTATTTATTTAAGGTCTATTTCACAATTGAAGAGTCTATAAGCAATAATAAGCAAATAAAAAATTTGATCAACATATGCTAAAATTATAATGTTCTCTATATGTGGAAAACTATCTATAGCATGACATTTTAGTCTTTTCAAAGAAGTAAAGAAAAAGGGAAGAAAGGTACTAAGAAGAGCAGCAAGTAGTAGGCATTAGAAGGGAAAAAAGGGGGGCATGTTACATACCACATGATTTTAAGGGATTTACTTATCTAACTTCTAAAGTTTGATATTTATATTTATGATACCTTGGTGATATAAACCAATGCATAATAAGGTGTACTTGACTTTAAAAAAACAAGTGAAAGTGATATTTTGATGTGAGGAAAAAGATTTTAGTGATTTGAATGCAAATATTGAAGTCCCAAAAGATGGTCAATATTTATGTTATTTTGTCTGTGCATTGTGAAAGTGTGAGGTAAATACCAAATTATTGACTACTAATCCCTGTCTTTCATTAATGAAGGATGGTTATTCAAAATACTCATTTTCACAATGAAACTTTAGAGAAGTTTCAATAAACTTTTAGCAAATGCACTAATAAATACAGGCAAGACTGGTGCCACAATACACTTCGGTGGTTTGGAATTCCATGCAAAAGCTATTATGGTTGATGTCACACTTGTCAACGACATGTATCCTCGGGGTGTCTCGTTCTATGACCATACCTTCATTTCGTGCACACCAGCCCGTGCATGGACCGAGATTTGCTGCTTCTATTGTTGTCAAAGCTACTCGAAAGGGGGTCTCATTCTTTGAGAGATTGACTCCTGCTAAAGCCCCATCTATGCAGAAAAATATCATTGGGCAGAAGATTTTTCTAACACATATCAATGCTTTTATTCCATTCACTGAGCCTTTTGCACCTGGAAGACATGATGTTGAAGCTTCCTTATCTAGAGAAAAGCTGACTCGAAGGCAAAAAAGGAAGAAGGCTGAGTTGCAAGCTCAACATTTTTTATAGGAGCAACCCAATATTTCAGAATCTTTGATGCCAGAAGCGAATGTTCTCACATACAATCAATTTGAAAATTTGAAATGGGTTAAATTGAATAACTTTACCGGTGATAAAAAAACAGTTTTTTTCAAATCAACCATGGCAGCCTCTTTTTGAGGAAAAAAAAAACATGAAACCTTGTCTGCTCGAGTGCACAAAGTTCTAAAATTTGTAATGGATAGGGTCTAATGAAAAAGAAGTGAGGAAGACCTATTATAACTGGGGAAACAAAAATCCAACTAAGAGATTATCATAAATTATTATTAGAAATTAGCTCAGACATGCCTCACTTAGTGAGCATCAAAGGGAAACACCCAAATAAAGTGTCTAAAAATCTGCCACTGAAAGGCCATGATGAAAGGAAAAACAAATATGGAACTCCATGATAAAAAAAATTATAATGAGGAAAGAAAAGATGTGTTATATGGTGCGCACTTCTAGAGATAAGCCATCCATCAAGAATGGGTTCTTAAAGTAGAGATCTCGACTTAATGAATGTCGCGGTGGTCAGCACGTTGGAGAATACTCCAAGAATCTCATTGTTAATCAAATTCCGATAAAGAAACCAATCTAAATCGAAGTCCTCTAATTGAGAAATTGTTTATCCCATACTTTGAACTAGACGTTCATTGGAAGTGTCAATAAAAAATGAGAGTGCAATAAGAAGATGATAATAATGAAGACACCATTGAAGCATAGGTGATTTATGTCAATGACCAACCTAATACTCACTCCTATTAGTTTAGGCAACAAACAATTCAATCCACTATCTAGTTAAAAAGATAAGAACATGTTAATTTTTCATTAAAAGATGAGCTAATATAAGAACAAGGAGATGATGAAGAGCATAATCTAATTGATAATGTTACTTTTGCCAGAGAACAAAAATAGATGCAGTGCTTGATTAAGGTAAATCAAAAATTTCTTACCTAAACAACAAGATTAATGAGATGATGGTCCAAATGAATACTATGATGGGAATATTGCAAAAAAATATTGTAGCAAGCACAATCTTGTCATGCTTGCCAATAATCACACATCCAGCGGTGCTATTAGTAATTCAATAGATAGGCATATCAAGTATATGGTGCCTCCTCAACATGTTCTAAATGAGGATGAAAATGTAATAATTGCTCAGTAAGAAAGTATCATAAATGAAAACATCAGGGTTGTTATAGCCTCAAAACAGGTTGAGAAACTAGTGGGTGAAGCCCGACCTTATCCAGTCAAATATGATTAAGTTTCATATACAAAGGTCTTTTCAATACTAATGTTTCATACTTTCAATAGTAATGGTAATTCTAGGTAGCATTTGGCCAGTTGAAAGCGTCATGCGGTAACACTAGGGGCATAGATGCATTGCTATTCCTCTTATTCATTATTAGTCTAACAAGAATTATTTTTGAGTGGTATGCAAAGTTGCTTAGCAATTTATTTAAAAAATTCACATAGCTCAAAAAAATATTTATTAAAAGATTTGTTTGCGCTATAGAGAAGAATACTATTACTGATCTCGCTCTGAAGAAAAGAAGAAGGGTGAGTCGATGACAAAGTATATCATGTGTTGATGTAACCTAGTGCCATTTTATGCCCATTTGCATACATAACACCCCATTTCTATTTATTTACATATCTAACACCTAAATTTATATTATTTTTTATAATTATACCATCTAAATATAATTTAAAAATAATAAATTTAAAATTTAAAATACATAAAAATTAATATAAAAAGATATAAATAAATATAATTATATTATTATTTAATTATTTCAAGTCAAACGAGCAGAACACGAGCTGTTCGCAAACGAAGAGTTTTTTTGATAGCCCTAGCTTCTATCAACACATTTCAAGATTTATTTGAGAGGGTTGCAGAATTTGAGAAGCTGAACTTTGTAAAGTTTGAAAGTTATTTCAAGAAGGTCAAAAGAAATAAAGTTGCAAACTCTAGAAAAAGAAAAAGTCGTACACTTTTTTCAACTTGGATAAAGGAAGGTGGGAAACTTTTAATATTGAAAAGGGAAAGCAACCAATGGAGAAATCAATCAAGCAACTCTAATCCTCAATAAAAATTATTTTTGGGAGAAAATGATAAGCTAAAGACGACTTATGGAGGAAAGTGTCAAAATCAAAGGGCAAGTGCTAAAGAGTGAGTATACCCATCTCTTAAAGACAATGAATAAAAAATAATCTTTTGAAAGAGAGTGGCAAAACTATTTTATCAAGCTGTCAAAGGTGGGCTTGACTTGCTAGAATGTAAAGAATCAGATCAAACTAGCTAGCAATCCAAATTACTGGCCACTCTATTGACGATTGTTATATCTTTAAAATTTGGCTTGAAAGAAAATACATAAATGAGAAATTTAAATTGTCAGACAATGTTCTAATTCGCTTGAAAAGAGAGTCAACAAATATGGTTATGTTCTCTTAAGTTCCATCAACTAAAGAAAATATAAAAGATAGATCACATCAAGATGAAGAATGAGAGACTGTGGTCTCAAAGAAAATAATGAAAATATTGAAGCAGTTGAGGAGAGTTCCTAATATAAAGTGGAAATCAACTCTAAAACTGGTATTCAAGTTAAAAGAAAGACCGATGTAGGACACATCAATTGCTTTGTCAACTCAAAGGTAGTTTAATCATGTAGCTCATCTCGCATAAGATGTGATCTATAGAATGTTCGTAAAAAAAAAATCAACTAGAAAGAAAAAAGAAAACTAAGAAGAGGACTGTGAGGCAAAATATTATTAATAATTTGGAGGAGTATCATAAACCCATAAGAAAACTTATCAGACTTATAGAGTTCATGCAGAGATTCAATATTATTAATTCAAATGAAAATGATGAGGAAGAAACATTCCCTGTGAAAACTTGTTTAGTCATACCAGTGACATCAGACATTTCCAGAACTTCACCTCAAATCTCTATGTTGTCTAAGTTTTGTTTGTTGGCCTTACAATCAAATGATAGTTTAGAAGATTTGTTTTTTCTTGAAGAAAGTGAGGCCTTATCATAGATTAAGGGCAGAATGGCAAAAAAAACTTCTATAAAAAGCACATCAAAGTTCTGAATCAAATGAGGTGGTTAGAGTTCAATTGAGAAATAGTAGAGTATAGCCTTCATCACC